GACTATTTTAAATTAAATTCCTTCCTCAAGACTCAACTTGTGTGTCCTGAAGAAAGCTTTTGAACAAATACAATAGAGCCTTACAGTGTTACTTATGAGACAGAATCATTAAAACTGACAGGGCATTAATGCTGTGAAAGAACACCACTTTGACTATGCTGGTACTGAATCAAGCTACAGTAAACACAGGGTTACCTGTAAATTTATTTTCCAAATCCAGATGAACAGGTACCTGCTGAGCCAGTAAATTAAGCTTTTAAAGGAGACCACTCACTAAAGAGCATCTTTTGCTAACATAGCTCCAAAGGATGGGACAAGTATGGACTTCTTTTAAATATATCCATCTTCTCTAGAATGGAGATGGATTCTGAGGTGTAGAGAGCAGAATGGAGACCTTCTCCATCTCACCCAGACCAGCATTCTGTCCTCAAGTCCTTATTATCGCCTAAAAGACAAACTATCTTCACAGCTTTTTGCTGCTCATTTATCAAGAACAACATCATGGGCAGCACTGTTGTGTTGTTGTTTTGGGGTTTTTTTAAATAAAGGAAAAGTAATTTTGCCCATCTGCTTCTAGCAATAGAGTACAAATTCACAGAGATTTTTACTCAATCTATTACACTGTTTTCACTGTCAGGTTAGGGCATACATCAGAGCACGAGAGATTTACAAGACAAGTTGAAGAGCCCTAAACCAAAAATTGGACTCTCTTTTACTCAAGCCTCTCTGTCCACTGAGCCTGAAGTTGTCAAACAAGAACCAGACTTCCACTTGTTTACTGTGTGCTTATTTCCCCAAATCCACAAATGTCACAACAAATGACCCTAAAAGGCACCATAAAGGGCAAGAGTCTCAGTACCTTTTGTGGTGAGCAAGTTCTTTTCCTGGCAATTTCCTTCCAGACAGAGAAGACAGATGATTAATCTGGGAGCACTGAGAAAGCCCCACACAACAGAGCTATCGAAGTCACAAGGTTTTCAGCTGAGACCCCTAAAAATTCCCATTAAAACTAACTGACCCTCTAGTGTGTGCCAGTGAACACAACTGCCAGAATATAGTCAGCATCCTGGACTTCCTCTTTTCTTTCTTCCTCCTCATCTCACAGTAACTCCCTGCTGTCGTTTTCCAGCTAGACAGTGACATACCAGACTTTTGGGCTCTCAGCAGGATGGGCCACTGGCAGGGGCTCCCTGTGGGCTCACCGCTCCCAGCTGCTCCAGGCTCTTTGGGGCACAGCGCTGGGCTTCTGCGGGGTCGTGGAGCCAACTTCATAACCGGGAATTTGCTTTTGAGATGCGGTGCCAAGCAAAATAATACAAGATTAATTAACTGTGTCAATTACTACATTTCAAGGGGAAAGGAAAAAAAAACCCAAACCTAAGCACCATCATTTCTTATCGTATGTATTTATTTATTTCAAACCAGAAGCAGCCATCCTGGTTTTCAGAAGGGTTGCATGTAGATGCTTTCCTAGTCGCTTGGAAGGAGCTGACAGCTTTCAGCACTTCAGAAAACACTGCTTTGAGATTCTCTAACAGAAGGAAGGAACCAGCAGCCAGATGAGAAGCATGTGAGGGAACGCATCTATTAGCAAGTACAGGGAGATGTCTTGTTAATAGAAGACAGAAGGAGGGACAAAGCAGGGAGAGGAAGCAGCCAGCAGTTAGTCATTTTCTCATACAAATACATTTGGCTAGAAATGAGATGCATATCAATCTCGTATTCCTTTCTGCACTTTCAGAGCCAGTGAAAACCAATACTGAAAAGCAAACCTGAACACTGAAAGCCCTCTCTTCAAAACTGTTTAGCACCCTTAGAAGCCCCCAGATAATAAAAACAATGAGAAAATGAAAATTTTACTGACAGTGGTGGCATAGGACAAAGACAGATACCAACTAGTGAAAAACCAGAGCTTCTCACTTGCAAACCAGAGCACATCAAAAGATGCCCTTAACGCTAGCAAGGGACAAATGAGTGGGCCCACCAGGAATCAGCTTTGACATTAGTGAAACCCTTTCTCCGGCTCCTTCTGTGAGCATAAGATGGGAAGAGATGATAGGACGAGGGGGAATGGTTTGAAGCTGCGCCAGGGCAGGTTTAGGCTAGACATTAGGAAAAACTTCTTCCAGTGGTGGGATGGCAGGGTTAGGTTAAAGGTTGGACTCGATGATCTCAAAGGTCTTTTCCAACCAAAGTGATTCTATGATTCTAAGAGATGTCTGAGCCTCCAAGACAGGCTCAGAAGGTTTTGGGGTTGTTTTATTATTTTTTTTTTTTTTAAAAAGCCATTTTGGAGAGGAAAGGAAAAGAAAAAGCAGAGCAGGGAGAGCAACTAAGGGCTCAAGTGTACAATGAGTTGACACAGCACAAGGATCAAGTTTTGTATCACCACGCTTACGAAAAGAGACACCATCTGGATATGTTCAGCCTGTGGAATAAAACTCAAGTCTCACCATAGCAATAAAGACCAAAGATAACAGATTAGCAAGGTAATTGCTGAGCTTGCATCATTACCATTAAGAATGTAATGTGCAATAGCAAAAGTTACCAATGCAGTTCTCTTCAAGGAACAGGAACATAAATAAATAAATAGATCAGTAACACACTCACTAATGCTACCTTTAACTCAAATTAAGACATGCTTAATATCAAACTATCCATATGCAAAATCTGCATAAAAATAAAACAGTTTTTAGAAGATTCTTTATCCAAACCATCACCTATGCTACCTCCTGAGCAACAGGGTTTCCTGCATTCCTTTGCTGGCTGAAAAGGATTACTGCAGTATTGCTATTTGCTCCAATCTACTGCCCTAAAATGACATTTTGGCACATAACTGGTTTTAACTACTTACATTTCAAATAAGCTCTAGATAATATAGTTGCTCTGAACAAAATTTAATATATAATTGACTCACGGCACATTGTTACTCAGCCCAAAGACTTGTCACTGAACTTAATTTTAATAGCACACATCAGAGCAAAAAAAGACAAAGAAATTGTTACCCCTTCCCTGACTAATCAATAAAGCTAAAAAAAAAATTCCCTGAATTGCCACGGGAAAACCAGTATGCAGTATGCCCTTTCAAGGAGATACATAGTTTTGCACCTGGATATTTTCTTCTTTTGCATTTCAGAGAGAATGAAGAGGAAAAAAAAAAAAAAAAATCACAGCATGATTCATCATTATTTGCATGAAACTACAGCAAAATCAAGATATTAAAATCCATTTGCCACACTTTTTTTTTTTTACTACTTTTCATAAGCCTATTTTCATAAGTCTCTTCATAATCTGCATCTGCCTTGTGTTGGAGACATGATATTAAGCTCAACAGGTATTTGATTTGACTTAATATAACTGTTATTCTCTTCTTAAGACACACCAAGATAGCAAGTAAGGACAAATACGGAAAGTTCAAAGAGAAGCCAGAGAGTAGGAAACCAGGGACAGATAAAGGGCCAGCTGACCATAAACGTATTTCCCTGTGAATAATGCTTGAAGTGGTAATAAGATACAGACTCATAATTCAACTACTAGCTAAAGTTTAGTTACCACCCTAAAATTTCTATCTGTAAATTGTAGGTAAATGCACCACTGAAGGAAAACCCACTTGCAGATAAAAAGACATGCAATAATTTTCAATGTGTATATTACATACCTCATATTAAGATTTAGACAGCTGCAACTGTTTAAATACAGACTTTTCTATGCAAAAATAGAAGCTAGCTCTTTCTCTCTCACTATATGTATTTCTAGTAACTGGAAAAGCCACGATGAAAAAACAAACAAAACAAAAACAAAACCACCAAAATATTTTAAGATCTCTGAATAAAAACTGTGACAACCGGTACCACAGTACTCTACAGATTATAGACTTCTTGGAGAAGTTCATTTTAAACTCTGGATAAACCCAATACTCCAACAAAGGAAGAAAATTAATTAGCCAGTTTGACACAATATACCCTTGTTCTTTCACAGACACGAGAGAAACAACAACTGGTTTTCAAACCTGTAGTTCTAATAGAGCTGCTCTTCTAACCATTCTTCTTTGTCCGACATATCCATAAAACAATAGAACATTTTATGGATTCTTGAATTAGTGGCCCTCTAAAGTTAATATACAAGGGGAAAGCTCTGTTGACTCTGATTTTTTTCTCATTTCCTATAAGGAAAAAACAAACTTCCTTTGATTCCTTCATCAACTTTAGTCTATGGACTCTGATGACAACAGGGACTTCTATTATTACACCTATGAAGTTTTTAGTAGCATAGTGTTTATACACCAGTGACTCTTGTTCTGCGAAAAAGAGCTGGCAGTTTCCACAAACTACAAGAATGCTCAGTACAATGAATAATTGCTTAGCACTTCATTTTCTACATAATAATCATTTTCTTATATATAACTAAATATTTTAAGCAGTTTATTAATTTATAAGCTTAGTTGTGGGCAACTCTGTGTTTTTGGCATCAGTGCACAGACTGCCTAAAGTGTTGATACTCTATGTCCTCAAACAGTTTCTAAGTGTCCTCATAATTGCTTGTCACCTGTAAAAGAGGTTTAGATCCAATGCAAAATTAACATATGGTGAACAGATGGACTCAGAACAGACGTTTGTCGAGAAAGTACTCACACCAAAGACTTTTTGGCTTCAGCCTTTTAGGACCTTCAGAAAAGTCCTACTTGAAGCTCCAAGTCATACTAATCAGGGCAACATCATTCCTCAATGACAGTCTCGTGTTGCAAAAACTTTTGTGACCTGCTACAGAGAAGAATCCTTGCAACTTTGCCATTGTCACAGTACCTCCAAAACCAGAAGAAACAAAATATTCTTTCCATAGGGTACCCCATCCATCCAACATGAATAATTGAACTTGTACTCACATTTTTGTTTCATACAAGGCTGCTATTATAATGATTTTAAAAAAAATAATTATAATAAAAAAGTTTAAAAAAAGTCCCCTCTGTCCCCACAAACTCTTCAAAATATTCCATTACTTACTGAGGAGGTAAGACAAGAGTTGTTGGCTGGGCTTTCGGTCTGCGTTTTGCAGATACTCCCATCTGGTTGGCTGAACGTTTCAAAGACTGCTGATTCAAAAGGCCAGATGCTAGCCCGGCATGGTACTGCAACTGGATAATAAAAAAACATATATTAAAATACACACCACTGCAGTATTCTGTCTATGTCAGACCTCTACTATCTGTACCATCTGATTCAAATTACAGCCAGTCAGTAAGTTAATGTATGGTATTTCAAATATATTGCTTGGATGGAAGACGATACAAACAAAAGCATATAAAAAAAGTCTGATGTAAAGTAGGTGTTACAAGGAAATCATGCTGTAGGGCAAGTAAGATGATGAATCAAAGACTTCCTCTCAAGTCCTAACTCTCCTGAAACTTGGGCTTGCTTTTAAATGTTAAGACTGTTTCTCCTCTCAAGGGATCAAGCATTCTTACTTTTTGGAAGAAGATACGAGGAAGAAAGATGAATCCCGTTCACTATATAAACCAGCCTTTTAGAAATAACACTCATCTTTTTCTCTTAAACATAAAAACACAGAACATTCACAAAGAGGTTTCAACCACTGTAAAGAAAAATCTAGCCTTTAAAATACCTGCTAGCATATCTCCCTAGCACTGCAAGAGAAAGATTCACATCCAGTAGCTTTCTCCTCTAAACCTTTTATTTTACTTGCCAATGAAAGACAAATTTATGAAGGACACAAGGCGAATCTGCAACATTTTGAGTGAGTTCCCATAGCTCACAGATTTAAGAACAGCTACAGCGCTGTGTCAGTCCTGAAACCAGCTCCAAGTGCAACAAGTTACAAGCTCACCTCTAAACACTTTCAATTTACATTCTCAGTTCCCCATTTTTTGAGAACTGGGTGGAAAAAAAGCTTAAGATTCAGTGTCAGACGAATGCAATTTCCTTCATCATTCTAGTCCCCATATCAATGCACTCATTATCTAAAGATTTGTTCTGAAAAAGATGAACTGTTTACCATATTAACAACCTAATCCCATGATCTGCATATAAAAAAAAAAGGTTACAGTTAGGAAACTATGACTTACAAATGTTCAGAAAATAAAGTGGTCTTAAGCAAAGCTATTCTGCAGGGTACTGACTGAAAATGAGGGAGACAAAGCTTGGTAAAGTGATCTACTTGGAAATGGCTATTAAAATGACTGAAGCTATCCCGTGAGCCAATTTGACTCAAATGTCAACGCTCAGAGCATCCATAAAGCTTTTTAACAGGCTCCTGATTTACTTGGCTGCTTTGCCACGTGATCTCGGCTGTGGCACAACATGAAGACACATCGTGTTCCTAATGGGAAGAGAACCATGCTCTGCCAGGGAAGGGGGGGGAGGGGGGATTATATTGCCCCAACAGCTCTGCGTAGACCAATGATTTTTTGCTCTGATTTGTTTTTTTCTCCGACAGATTACTGAAAGGGGGGGGGCAGGGGGGAGAAATCAATGAGAGCAATGGACAGTACATGTTTGAAAGGCAATGTTTCAAGGTGTCAGGGGCTTAGTTTTCAATCTTCACTATCAGAATTTGCAGTGAGTGCAATATGCAGGGAATTAAAGGGAAAGACAGCTCTGGCAGAAGACCCCTCTGACTCCAGGAACACACTTTTCCCTTTTCTTCTTGCATCTTATTACAAGCAGCCCTCCTTCAGCCATTTTGTGCTGTTGACTCCATGCCTTTACGTCCACTGCGCAGAATGACACTGTCAGGTATTTCAAGTAAATAACATCATTTGGACACTTGCTCAGTGACAGAGGTAATCACAGGTGCTAATCATAGATGAATTTTAAATGCGACCGTTTAAAAACATTTCATAACCTCCTCGCTAGTCTGACATTCAGTGGTCAGGCATTAAAAAAAAAAAAAAAAAAAGAATTAAAAATAAATATATTCTAAAAAAACAATTCTGTCCTTGAAGGCTCACTCCCAGTGATTAAGCTATTTTTATTAATTATCAGTATTTCTTTATAATCTACCTTTGCTCCCAGGAATGCAGATCCAACTGTCAAAATCTATAAGGGCCATTAAATATTTACTAAACCATCCTTATAATGGGAGAAAAGGTCAAAGTTAATAAAACTGACAGGCGGCTTCTGTCCAGCTTGATTTATACATTATTAAAGTATCACATACTGTATTGCACAGAATGCATTCCTTTTCGGGGCGGAGGGGTGTTAACTGAGGAGATTGGGAAATTGTTTCTTAATCATTAGTTCTGAGGAACAGAAACAAGACTGAAAATAGTGCCAAAGCAGCACCACCAGTATCAAAACTATAGCCGGGAGATTCAGTGGTCCTGATGGATAATAAACGTGCCATTCAGTTCATTTTTCCTCTTGCAAAATAAACACCTTTGTCTGCCAGCATCAGCCATGGCAGCAAATCTCAGCTAAAAACAGACCAACCCCCTCAAAATTTTTGTTTACTAACATGAGAATGCCATTTCCTAACACGTTATCTTCACCTTAGGGAAGCCGCATGGAACATCCTGTCAGAGGATATTACGGGTGCTAAAAGGCTCCCACAGGGAAGCTGAAATTATCTCATGAGACACAAACCCTTTGAGGGTTAATAAACACACAGAAAGGACAGTCAGTTGAAAAAGTCCCTGAGCCAGAGCCTGCTGATGGCTGGAAGAACACCGGGGAGAACATTGTATACAGGCATGACCATATAGCCTGGAGATGAGACGGGGCTACACGAGTCTTCGGGCTGACCCAGCAGAGCTGCTGAGCTTTTCGGTTAGTGTCTGCGGAGGGGTGGTCCATGCAGGTCTAAGAGACCCTGCGACCCAAAGCAGCCAAAAGTTGGGCACTTGTGGATGGTCACAACTGCCTTCTGTAAGCATATTCCCAATGACCTTCCATCTACTTTTGACAACCGTGCTCACTTAAATCAGCAGAATGATAAACAGCAATAGCTTTATCCACAAAATATGCTAAATACTCACGGAATTTGAGTACCGGTGCAGCACTAGGTAGTACCGCAAATAATTTCTTTATCAGACACTAAGGAATTCCCCGTCATTCAGAGGCTTTGTTACAGCAAGCATCCATGTCTTTCAGCTTTGGGGAATTCCAACTGGTTTATGTGAAGCTAAGCTCTTTACTTCCTAATGAAATATTCCTCTGTAAAATTTCAATAAGATTGATCTTTTTTTCCCCCAATACATGCAGATGAAACATAAAATCTATTTCAGAAAGCTAAGAAATAAAAACCAACAACAACAACAAAAAAATCAATTTATAACACTTAGCAGCTAGGATATACACCAGTGCCAACTTGTACAGTTTTATGATGAGTCTCATGATAGCTGATATTTTTCTTAAAACTGTGGTTCCAAGTAGATGTGTGAATTCCACATTTTAAAAATCAAAAGAGACTCTAGTTCTCAAGGATG